ACAGGCAAGCACACACATAACTAGATATGTGATTTGCTTATTTTCCTTGATCTACCTCATCTAAGAAAACTTTACGATTATTGAAAGGTCAGAGATACATATATATTGTAGACCTGTCAAGAAAATGGAGTTAAGCTATGCTATTAGTCTTCAGTCATAGTTAATAACTGTCTTTATTACTTTGAGTGTTAATTACTGACATAATTTGAAAAAATTAGCTCCAGATTGACACAAGACACTCAATTAGGAGAATGTGAGAATACATAGTAAATACTAGCACTTCTATGTTGTAGAACTAAAAAATTGAGAACTTCCAGAATAATTCTTACCATAATGATACCAGGATGGAATCTTGGGTCTTGTATCTGCAAAGTGAAAACAAATGACCTTGACTAATCTTTATTCAGAGATGCACTGTCAAATTACTTCAACTCTAGACACACTGTATGAAACTTCACCTTTAAAAAATACATTTAAAAGATAAGTATTTTGTGCTGTGTGGAAGCACACTGGAAGAGGATTCTCCAGAGAGGTTTCTGATGAAAGAAAGGACGAGAAAACTTGCTGGGGACCTACTGTGTGCCACACACTGTGCTTCCATTTATTCCTTGTGTGGTAGTTCCGTTTCCCTGTAATGTCAGAGTGGTGTTACTTTCTCACTATATTTGCACAATAAACATTCTGCAAAGTTAACTTATTTCAATGAATTAACTTGGTATACTGTGCTGGTGCAATACTCTTATTTCCTTATGATACACTGTTTACCAAGTTTTGTTCATTTTGGTTTTTTTTTTGTTCATTTTGGTTTGTTTTTTTGTTCATTTTGGTTTTGTTCATTTTGCTGTTTTCTGGTATTGTAGTTTAGGGTGCTTAGATTTTGAATCTGTTAACTCCTCATTTGGGAAAATGCCATACAATTAGAAATCAAACATGTAGTAAAGATCTTATTAATATGTTTACCTCTTGGAATTTTGCATATCCATTCATGTTTGAAACTACAGCGTGAAGGCAGCAATGTTCTGTTTGCCTTAAACACAGCACAATTTCTTGCCTCTTCTCCAAAATAAGTATTGTCTAAAAATGAAGAGACAACCTGCAGCAGATGAAGTTCGTTATTCCTTAATGATAATCCCCCATAACAAGCTTCAAAAGATAAAAAAAGGCAACCATACACATAATCATTATAGATTTCTAGAGAAAGCTTCAGAAATGTCTGGCTGTCATTCCAGCTAAAGTTTGTTCCACATTTGTGAAGAACAAGCAAATCAGTACTTAGCATTTTTTCCTTAAAGATGTTTTTGCTTAAAAAGAGGCAGGCTACTCCTTTCTCCAAAAGGAAGAAAGAAGATGCAAGCTTTGTTTTGAACTTACACTATTTTGTAACTGGCAGGATTAGTCTAGTCCTGGGATCCTGGGTAAATGTAGAGGCTCTGGGATGTGCCAGATCTGGGTGTCACCTTTGACACTGATTCTCTTACATATATGCTAAGTTTTTAGTTTCTAATATCTAAGCTATATAACTAAAGCTTTGTAATTAAGAAACTAATCAACATTTCCTATGAATGGCCACATAGCTAACATAATAGGGGTTCTGAATAAAGAGTGGATCTTCTCAATCATTGAATAATTACTTGACAGAGAGTGGATGGATTACAAGTACAATTGGTATGAAAACTTGGAAAAAGGATGTTTTGAAACCATTTATATTCCTCCTCAAACATGTACACCATCATGCAAAATTTATCTAATGTAAATATTATAACCGCGAGTTCAGAAAATAGTGCAGGTTTGAATTCATTTTGTACAAAGGGGAGTGGTGAGGACCTCAGTTCATTGCTTCATGGCCTTATTCTCATTTATTTTGAACCTAATTATCTATTTTTCTTCTATTATTAAAAAAAACTGAAGCACTCTCAACCTTTCTTGAAAAACCTTGTTTTTCAAGTGCTGCACAGTCTTTAATGCCTCTTCCACTCTGAGCTTTGTTTTCTTCATTAGCAAAAGGGACAGGGGCACCTGAGTGGTCTCTAAGATCTTGCTTGCTGTATTTCCGGTACCCTTTTCAAAGAGGCAACATTGAATTGAAGATGTTATTATCGTTTTTGGCTAGCATATCACTATTGTTATTTTTGTTCACATTAGAAGCATAGAGCTTTTAAAAATAAATCCCATTCTGGTCAGAAGTTTGAACTCCATCTATATACTGGGCTTCAATATATACTATATTCTCTATTTCAAATTTGGCTACTGATATTTTGCCATCCGGGGAATATCATAACATTGTAGCTTTGGAATCTAACAACCTATATACAAATCCTGGCTCTTCTCTGTATTCTGTGAGGCAAACCACTAATTATTCTGCTGCCCACTGCAGAGTGCTGTTGTCAGGATGCAGTGAGATCATGCAGGAGGGCGTGCAGCTCAGTGCATGGAGCCATATAAGGGCTTGATAAACAGCAGCTGCGTACTCACTCAATGCAGGTTCTTAGTGGAGCCCTGTTTCACAGGGGGAACTCCATAATGTGATTTCGCACATGCCCTGGGATGGCCCCCACTTCAATCTGGGATATTGCTTCAGTGTTTTTCCTGTCACCTTGAGGAAAATGTGGGAATTCCTCATTGCACTTGAAAAAAAGAACAGTGTAGTGTGTCTTCTCTCTTACAGAGATTTGCAAGTATGAGGCTGAATGAAAAGCAAGACATTCTTTCTTCACTGTGATATGGACAAGGGCTGCATGATCACATGATCGGCACTATGTAGGAAAGGAAGGGGAGGTAAAGGAAGTATGACATTATTATTTTTGTTGTTGTTGTTATTCTTTTCGTACTGGGGGTCAAACTCAGGACCTTGCGCTTGAGAGGCAGGCGGCAGAACCACTGAGCTAAATCTCCAGCCCAGCATGGTATTATTTTAAAGAACACCTTTGTCAGATGGCAGTTCACACTGGAGATGGCTGGAGGAAATTTTTTGGAGATTATTTTTTCTTTTCATGATAAGATGCTATAGGGCAACAGTATCAGAACTAGCTGGTTAGGAAAAGTTTTCCAGGACCTTGACAAAATAATTCTTTCCACACAGAGCTTTAGCTTTGTCATGGGAGATATGGCTATTATTTCTAGGTTCTCTTGGTTGATTTTCTGGTAGTCCTAGGACCACTTGTTTTCAATTCATCTCGTTTGGTCCAGTTTGGAAATACTTACAGGAGTTCCATCTGACCACTCCCAAGAACCAGCACCCAGTGGGCTTCTTTTATTAAAGCCAATCCAGAACTGCCTTTCTTCTGTCCTAGGAAGAAACGAAACAAAAACTTTGCCTTTCCCATCAAATTCACAACATTATACAAAAAATTTTTAAAAACCTTAAAATATTTATGTTTGTAGGAAACAGTTGATGTTACTGTCAGGACTGATCAAATAATCACAATTTTATTTTTCATTTTTTTATGTGAAAAACCCTCTGCTGAGAAAAGAACCGTGAGAAGATTTAGACTTATATTCTGTTTCTCTTGGATTGTGTGATTTGGTCACCAGTGATGTGCAGTTAGGGAAAAGTCAACACATACTGAGAACATGAGTTTCTCATCAGGAATGGCATATCTTTCAGTCAAAGCATGGACATGAAAACAGGATGGTAACAAATTTTGGAACAACTTTTCCCTAGAGGACTTTTTACTACTTTAATATTTATTTACTACTTTGCTATCCTGGTTATATTACTTTACTGTGCTTTGATTGGATGCTGTTTTTTTTTTTTAATGTTCATGTATTCTCTGAAAGTTAATCACCATGATTCCCATTTAATAAAAGGTACACAGTAGGTTTTAGGTTTTTTCAAATCCCAACATAAATAATTCTGCAGCAAATCAGCTGGGGCCATGGTAGATTAACTTCAGCAGTCACCATTGGTTTAGACTTGGCCAGAAGCTCCACAGAGAACCATCTTCCCTCCTATTAGGCAGAGTACAAATATGTCAAACCACAAAGTACTCAATAAATCAAGCAATAAAGCCTAATTGTACAATGAACCATCTCACTAAGATAATTTTCTGAGAATAATTTTGAAGAATTAAACATTTAAAATATTCAGAAGTCATGACAGATGCTTTATTTTCCTTAGTGCAGAGAAGCAAGCCTATTCTGAAGCACTCCTTCTTAGATATTTGACCTACTCAGCCAGAATGATATAAATTAAAGTCAAATGCAACTGAGAAAGTCTGAGTGATCACTGGTGTCTGGTTCGTCATTGTTGTGATGAAACCTTACATTCAAGGTTATGAGAAGTTGGGACTGACCACCTTAAGGTTAAACTGGGTACATTAATCTCCACAGCACAAGCTGGACATTCACATCATGCTTCTTGTGTTGAGAATATTTTATTTCTTTCCCCCGCTTTATTCAGCATTTAGTTTTTCTGCCATATACTAGATCATAGACAAATTTATTTTCTCTTCATCAAATTTCTTAAAATTGTATGATTTTAAAATAAACACACATAATTTAACTGAATTCCCTGGGTGGTTGGGGCAAAAAATAAAATATACATTATACAGCTGAATATTAGATGCTGAAGATAGATAATTTGATAGATGCGTGGTACCAAATTCTAGTAGAAATTTTGGTGGTGAGAACTTACGTAAACAGAAAAGACATAGTGATATTTGATCTTAAAGAAACTGGGAAGTAGTTTGTATGTAGCAATTTCATAGGGCAAACTTTACTAAAATCTAAGGACAGAACATTACAGTATATGTTTCAATGGCTAAAATAAAGTAATGAAGTACAGCACAGCTTAGAACAATGGAGACTATCCCCCATTCTAATAATTTAAATCTAATCTAAACTTAACCAGAAACACCATCCTGAGTTCAGCAGCTCTCATGTGAGACCACAGGGCTCCATGCCCTGGAACTGTAGTTTCAAGGTTTCCTTCTAGAAGCCTTCACAGTGATACACCACTATCCTAATATAACAAATTTCCAACACTGTACCTTGTTTTGTAATCACATTTGACTCTATACTTTTTTTTTCCCATGAAATACTCCATGGAACTCAAATTTGGAGATATTATTAAAACTTCCTCCTCTAAGGTTATTTTTGTAAAGGCCAAAGATGAATGATTTGATAGATGTTAGATATTAACTTCATTATGGGAATGTCCAACAAAAAATGTATGGGAAAGGCCAGGATTTTCCTCAAAAAACAGTTATGGATTTTCTTTAGGTTTCAAGCAAGTGTTTTATTTTATTTTATGTTTTTCATTGAATTTATTGGTACTTTTTTAGGTATACAGTATAGTTACATTCATCACTGGGATCTTGTACTTTTACAAGATATATCTTGGTTCTTATTTTTTCCCCCTTACCCCTGTTCTCCCTTCACCCTTTTCACCCTTCCCTATTTACAGAGACTTTGTATCCATTTTTTCCTTTTCTCATACTTTTTCTTTCCCCTTGGGCAAGTGTTTTATTGAGACCTAGAATTACTGAGCTTGGAGCACATTACTGACATTATTATAGGCAACTAAGTTAAACAGAAAGTAATATACAGTCAGAGAAGGACTAGGCTCTTAGGGAAGTCAGCAGAAAGAACTGACATCAGAATTGCCACTGGAGCTATATCTTTATCTTGAGGCCGCACCCCCATGCCTTCCTAAAGAACTTGGAATTATACTATAATTAGTTCCACCTTGTCTAAGAAGTCAAGCCAGGCATCAGTCGCCCAGGTAAGCATCCAGACTCATCCATTTACCAAAATGCCTTTGTCCTTTCCATGTATCCTTGCTATGTGACCCACTTCCCTATTGGATCAATATTAGTGGAGCAATTATACTTGTAAACCTACAGGTTGATTGTAGTTTGACCCATGTTGTGCCCACATTATGACTTTGCTGTATAAATTACACCTGACAAAGTGCCTCAGTGGCAATGTACTTCCAGGACTTCTCCTGTCTCTCAAGAGTAATTCCTTTTCTTCAATAAACCTTTCCTACTCTTAACCTCCATTGTCCTTTGGAATTCATTCTTTGATTTCAGGGAACCTGAACTTGGCATATCTAAAATCTAGCAGGTAGGGAGTTATATTTTCCCCTATATCAGCATTACATTTATTTCTGTTAAATGAATATATGGAACCTTGGAGATATGCCACCCTTAGACCACGTTTTCAGATTTCAACAGGATTTTGCCTGTTGGAATCTCCAACCAGTTATATAAGTACTGTAACTGTGACTGTGCCAGAAAAGATTCTCCCAAAATGTATACTGGTGGACAAAAATATCCAACAGGCCAAGCAGTGGGAGGACTTGTGAAAAGGAGAGATGGTGGCTGCCTTCAAATAACTTTGAGTACAAAAGGCTTGATCTGTATTGCTCTAGCTACAAACTGAGGGTGGCAGGCAGAAGGCTTACTAGAAAGTTGATTTTTGAAACCAGGTTCAACAATAGAATGAGCTTTCTCTCAGTCAAGGGGAATTCTGAAATGGGAAGGAATTATGCAGACAGTAGATGAATTCCACTGGGGTGGGATGTGATGAGATAGTGTGTGGTGGAAGTTAACTCAGGACCTTTAGATTTCTTCCACTTTGAACATAATTGAGATTCTAACTCCATGGAATTGGAGAGTCTATAAAAGTACAAATGTTACCAATAAGTGAATGATTGTTTCAATAAATGTAAAATTAGGAATTAGACTAGTTCTTTTTTAGTCCCTGGATTAAAAAAAAAAATCCTACATGAGCTCCTGGAAAATAGAAAATACTTAGCAAATGGGGCAATATGGGTTAACTATATTATTAGGCAACTATGGCTTAACTGTGTTATTGGGCAACTGTGGGTTAACTAGGTAACTATGCTCTTGGTAGAATGTACCTGAGTAGCCATGACAACTTCTGTAATCTGTCACAAAAAGGAGCATCACAGACTTAGAAAGTCCTGCCAGAACTCTTTGCTCTCCTCTCCTCTGATCTGCTTTGTGCAAATCCTGCTTGCTCTATTCCCAGGAAACTCCAATGGAATTAAGCTTCATGGATGTAAAAAGAAGTATATAAAGAAGCACAAACTTTTATTCAGGGCTCTCAAGATTGACAGGAGTTACTCACTGAGCTACTGGCATTAAAAGCTGCTTTTTGTCCTATCTTTGTGTTAAGAGTGGTCTACCTGAACCCTCACAGTTTCCAGCTTCAGGCCTGGTTGGAGCTACTCTGATGAGTCAGCAAGCAGAGACACCAGCTCTCTGGCCATCTGCTCCCTCTGCTCCAAGGATCAGACATCATTTTGAAAACCAGAGAGTAAAACAAAACTTGGAATTTAAAATAACTATTCTGGATACTCATCACAAAGAAGCCATTACTGGGAGACAGAATATTCAACTGTAAATATTCAAGACTGACAAATATTACCGATTAAATTTGGAATGTAAAAGCTCATTCACAAAGTTTTCTTCCTCAATATGGGCAAAGCTTGCAAGATGAGCTCCAAATTCTTCACAAAATGCCTCAGCTTCTCTCCATGTTCTTTTTGTCAGAACTTTTTCTCTGTGAAATACCTATAGAGTAAAAGAAAAAAATAACACCATCATGGATAAGGTGTGGCTATTCAATTCTGCTTCAAAAAACCCAGTATTATGATTTTCATTTTTGTTCGTGGCTGTGTGTCTGCTAGGGGTCGATCCCAGGGCTTCTCACATGTTAAGCACATGCTTTATTCTTAGTTGCATCCCCAAACCCTTATTACTTTATTGAGAGCTTGACCTCACGGAAATAACATTTATTGAACTAGAGTATGAGTAATCATTGTAAAACTGTTAGCTCATTTTATCTTCACAACAAATTCACAAGAATACAATATACAGTTTTTATAAAGGAGCTCCTCAAAGACTTTTTCCTCCCATAAAATCTACCACTGATATATATTTTTATTTCAATAACTGTCAAGAGATGAAGAAAGCCAGACTAAGAGAGATTAAGGATTTCAGATCACACAGTGACAAACTAGCAGAACTGGGACTAGACCCAAAATTCCTCGCTTCCAAAATCCATGTACTTCCACCCCAGCAGATTGCCTTCTGGCAAATTAGAACTAGATGAATGATCATGAATCAACCTGACCCATGGCAAGTAATGAGAAATGGGACCTGGAGCTTAGGGCGGGTCTTTGGGTTTTGGCTGAGTGGCAGGTGCAGTGGAACAGCTGTATCTGTTTTCTGCTGCTTCTCAGCAGTCTCATGGAAGGTTGAATGGAAGGTGTACTTCTGGCTTTATTTAAAAGCCAGAGGAGAGACTGAAGACCCAGAGCTCCTGATCCTGACCCTCTTCATTTTTACTGTCCAGCACTTAAGCCAGGTAGGTATACCCTGTGGCCAGCTTTCACTGAGCTCTGATTTGCTAAGACCAGAATGAATAGCTTTCTGGGCCTTGTGGAACACAGCATAGCCTTTCCATCTTTTAAATTATATGTCAAAACTTGCCTCCTCTGGGAACCTCTTCCCAAATCACTCTAAATTCATAAATCCTACCACTGTGCACGTCAAACACACCATGCATTTGTTGACACATCGGAATGATGTAGAGTAGAAAAAACACTACACCAGGAGTCTCAAGACTAGGGATTTATTCCAACTCTGCCAATAAATAATTGTAATCTTGGGTAAATCATTTCATCTCAGTGGCCTCATTTTATTCATTTCTAAGGTTTAACTTACCACTCTGTAAGGTAACTTCTGAGCCTATGAGTTTAACATAGGAGATTATATGTCCAAATTTAAATGGAGTTCATGCATAGTTGTTTCATGTCATCTACAAGCTGAATCATCTATGAAGCTAGAATATCTTCATCTTGCTCTGCATGTACCCAGCTACTACAGAACATTCTCTAGGATTTAGGAAATCTCTATTTGTAGAATAAACCAAACATAAAAACAGTATTTTGAAAAATGTATTCCTGATAAGAAGATTATAGGAACTCATGTAAATCTAGGCCCTAAACCTGATTTGCAAATAGACATTTCTATAAGAATATTATCTATATGTATATGGACATATACACTTTGTGTGTGTGTGTGTGTGTGTGTGTGTGTGTTTGTATATGTGTGCTGAGCATCCTTAATCTGAAAATCCAAAATCTGAAATGCTTTAAAAATCCAAAAACCTTTGTGAAAGTGATACCTTTGCTTTCTGATGGTTCAATATATAAAACTTTGTCTTAAGCACAAAATTATTAAAATAGTGTATAAAATTATCTTCAGTCTACATGTATAAGGTATATATGAAATACAAATGAGGTTTGTGTTCAGACTTAAGTTGCATCTCCTTTGTCGTTATATTCCCAAATCTGAAATCCAAAGAACTTCTTTCTGGCTTCAAGCATTTCAAATAAGAGACCTCCTCTCTTTCTCCCTCCCCCCTCATATATACATATATAAACACACACATTAACTGAATGTATGGATTTGTTTGACTGTTAGGTGTCAAGCTACAAAATCTATCCTCATTTCAGAATTATATTGCTCCATAAATACTTTATTCGTGAGTTGACAAGTAATACCCAGTGAATGTTGACCTCCTTTATTTGGTATGTGCTTGGCAATAAGGACAACATTGACTGGGGCCTCACAATTAATTATAGGACAGGCCTCTAAATGACCTTGGCTGGCCCAGCCCCTTTCCCTTTTGATTGCAAATGTGGGGCAGAATGTATCAAAAGCACAACATCCTGAGGTAAGGAGGAACTGGCTTTATTCCTTCAGGAACAAGATGTTCTGCAATGCTTTAGTCCAATGATTTCAGTGAAAAAACCAGAGGTGTAAAAACTAGACCTTTCAGAGCCCCTGCACTGTGGTGCAAAGTGGGGCATGTGCAGATGAGAGCTTTCCTGAGTCTTGGGGGCTCAGCCCACCATAGATCCTGCGCTTCTTGAAGCCCATCTGTGAATATTAAGGGCATTTTTCCTGATTTGTGTGTGTTCTGTCTCACCGGATCTCCCTGGAAGCTGAGTTTATGCAAAACCTGCCAGAGCTAAAAGCCTTACTGAAAACTGGTCAAGAATTCAGAGTTCTCCCCCAGACTGATAACCAGTGCATGGAGCTCTTCCTGGAGTTAATAGTGGAACATGGTATTTCTGTTAACATATCAGTCTTCATGAGGACAACTTCAATGTCACCAGACATGGGCCAGATTTCCCTTAAACTTGTTTGAATACTGTATAAGTGAAAGGACAGAGACAGGCAGCAAAAGTGATTAAGTGCCTTCTATTTGCTAGGCATTGCTTTGGAAAAAAAGGTGCTGGAACAGAGGAAGTTTTGATACATGAATCAGACTGAAATAATGTTGGCACTGTTGAGAACGCCTAAGTAATCTCAGTATCACCTTGAAACAACTGGCCAGGCCAGGCTTTGACTCCCAGTCCAAATAGCAGGGTTGAAAGGGCCATCTTTCTTCATGCTCTGTTTTCTCCCGGTTTTCAACTGGCTGCTTGCACAAGGACATTGCCTTAAAGTGTGTACAGTCCTTCACTTCCCAGCGACCCAGTGGACTACTTCCTCGCATGGCAACACAGCCACCGCTGTAGCCTAAAAACAGAAAATAAGCATTTTTAACACCACATGACTAAAACATTTGTCATTTTGAAGACAGCTCTGTTCGGAGTGTTGAATAATTGACATCTCATAATGAAGCATCCAGACAAGAACAATAGAAATTAAAAAGGACGTTCATTGGCACGGTTATCTCATTTCTCTTCATCTCTGGAGAAAAGAATAGAAGATGGAAACGAGAAAAGAGTCTGTGAAGCCTGAAATTTGGACATTGTCTACGTTTTAGCTCAGATGACAACAGAAGGGAAACTGGGAGCAGTTCCTAGGTGAAACTGAAATATCCTCCATAGCTTAGAGCTGTGCTTTGAAATTCCATTGTGAAAAATCAACAATGAAAAGTGCTTGGAGCTCATTTTCGTAGAACTAGCTTCAACAAAGAAAAATGCTTACATACAATGGGTTCATGGACACAAGGTATGCAACTCAGAACCAAATGTTGAGCTATAAACCATGGGAGAATGAGATAAATTCTTGAAATGGGAAAAAGTTCTGCAGACAGGAACAAGAGCAATCACCAGGGAATAGGAAGCAAATGGCTCCTGAATTAGTGAAATATGGCTCCCCTCCCCGGCCTTCTCAGTCCGTGTAAAATATTGGGAAAAGTAATATACTGTGTAGTTATGAACAAAACTTCACTTTTTTGTGTTTGATGAACATTGTGGAACAAGAGACATATTTTCTCTCAGAAACAATTTACAAATTAAGAGTCTTAATTTTGTCAGAAAAACCGATATTACTCATAAGACAGCTACAAAGAGCCCTTCAAATTTTAGTGAAAAACAGTCCTATTCTAAAAATAGATTAAAATTGAATAAAAATGAGCTAGTTTTTCTTGCATTTGGGGTGGCCAATCAATATATTAAATTGACATTTGACAACCACAGAAAAGTAACATGCCTGAGTAGGCAGTTGATTAGCTGCTACACAGAATGGATGAAACAAAACAAAACAAAACAAAACCTCTCAATTTAGTGTGAAACACTGGTATATACACAATCAACTGCAGTAAACACAGTTGTGAAATGTACAGTAAAGGTGTGTTCGGAACTCAGGAGGGGCGATGGTGCTTTCCTGGAGATATCAGTGAGGGATTGTTGAAAGTGACATCTGATTTGAATTTTGACAGAGAATTAAGTTTTCAAGGTGGGTTTATAAAAAAACAAATTATAATGGAAGAATCATGTGAAGTCTTGTGATGATTCTGAACCTAGAGATACTTTTAAAAAATGTAGTCACTTGGTATTAAATATTTATCTTGATTAATTTCCCTTCAGAAGTGACAGTTTCAACTTTAAAAAATTATCAGTTAACTAGCTTGATCTTTTCCAACCATGTTTTGGTTGTATTATGCTCACAGAAAGATTAAAGAGAGGGAATGGAACAGAGTTTGGTGTGAGAAAAGCAAGATGAAAGAGCTAAAGAATGGATGCTTATGACTTCAGTAATCCTGGGTTTGCCGCAAGTGTTAGGCACTAGACATCATGGTAACAAGATAGTCCCTATTTACAGGAAGCTCCAGTCCCGTGTGCCCATGTGTTGAGGCATCACAGTGACACACAGAGGAGAGAACGGACAGCTGTAAAAGAGGAGGCACACTAAGCATGGGTCAAATAGAGCAAAGAGAAGCTGAAAGAGAGTCGGTGCATACAGGACTATCAGCTATCTCCAAGGGCTGAGAATAGCTGGTTAGTACTAAAGATGGAGGGTTTGTGGGAGAAGGCTAGGGAGAGAGATTACAGTGTGCAACCACCTCTGCCACGACCAAAGCTTTGCAAGCTTGCTGAGTGTAATTTTGGAATGCAGCTCACAATCTAGCTGGCTCATGAGCAATAGGGGAGATGTTGCATGCTCAGTGCAATGAAATTAAACTATAGAGAGCTACATGGAAGCCCCAGATGTAAAATACTTGTGGAACTATTCTAGTTAAAAGAGGAAGGGAAATGTGCACCCCTGCTTGATTCCTTTGTTTGTTAAAGAGGCATTTATGGCACCACTTAGGTGGAAAACCTCCTTGAAAGAAAGAATGTACGCTCCAAATTAAGTCCCAGAACAAATACTTAGTAACTTGAAACTTGAACAGGTTAATTATCCACAATGAAGCTTATTTAAAATACATGGACAACAATTTTCTTGTCATGAGTTTTCATGAAAATCAAATGAAACAATGTATTCAAAAGCACTCCATAAGATAGGGAAAACTAAACTCAACCCTAAAGTTTTGCTATTCATCTTAAGGCTGTTTTCATTACAAAAACTGAGATTTTGTGCTATGACTTCTGCCTGCGCGTTGAAAGAATGTTTTAAAAAGTTTGAATCAGCAAGTTTAAAATGTAATATACTTTTTTGTTGGTCTTGCATTTTGTCTTACTTCCCCATATCAGACAATGATTAAATAGCCTTGGTTTTAGATGCTATAGATATTCAACTCATCTTCATTAGTGAAGAAGGAGATGTTTGTGAACTACTTGAAGATGAAAAGTGCTGCAAGAGTGTTATTGGTTTTCTAAAGCAGTTAGCTTAATGGAACATTTGACCCAGATTTTAGAGTCTCAGCCCCAAAGAAGCAGTAAAGTGGTGTAATAAAGGAAGGCAGGGCTAAGGGAGATATAAACCAAATTTATAAGCCAATTCATGGGGATGCTTGCAAAGCCAAATATAAGGGAAGGGGTGTGGGAAAAAAGCAGAGGCAGCTTTTCTCCCAGAAAATGTGTTCTTACATTTGGCAACTCACTGCCCACTGGAGAAGAATGACTAGCATCCTTTTTCTCAATGGTGACTCTCACATTTCAATCAAGTCTCCTTCCCACCTATTCTCCCTCAAACATGATTGAGAAAACTTAATGAAATTAAGAAATTCTAATTCAGTCTTCTAGTCTCTTCCATCTGACAAAATCATCTAATTGTAGAAAGTGAACTGAGCTGGGAAAGCACCTACTGAGTCAAGCACCTAGATATAAATCACCCAGTCAAACTGATTTGTGGCCTTAGGGAAGGAGGGAACCATGTTGAGCCCCAATGCTTCTAGACCAGTGATGGCCAACCTTTTAGAGCTCTCAGTGATGGAAACAGCCCACTGTGGCATGTGTGCCATGGGTTCGCCACCACTAGCTCTAGATAATTAATTTGCTTGAATCTCTTCAGTTATTTTCCCATTGCTTGCAAGAGCTCTCTCAGTCTCACCTCTCAAGTCCTCTACCCTCTCCACTTAGTTTCTCCCTTTTCCTTCTCTCCTTCTTCAGAGAAAAGTGAGGCTCTTCGGGCAGGGAGCTTTCATAACATCCTGCACATATACCAAGTACCTTACCAGGCATTTTATACAGCCTTTCTCCTACCTAACTTCAAAAGCTTGTTGAGACAAGGTGAGAATACTTGCACTTTGAAGATAGAAAAAACGGAAGCACAGAGGTTTAATAACTTGTCAACTTCACCTATTTTGTGACAGTTTGATTCAGGGTTTTAACAGGTATTTTTGAGTTTATTGTGAGACAGTATCAAGGTACAGAGTGCATGGACATTCATAAAGGCAGCTGAATGAATGAGTGAGTTCATCGTGAATTATGCTCCTCTTTCTCCATGCAGTGCTATTTCTCCTGTTAGAATTTCTTTCTCTTGTTTGGCCACAGGATTTCCTTGAAGATCTCCTATCCTTTAATTTTTTTTACTGTGTATGTCAGTTACTTAATATGATTATGAAAAGATATGAAAATGTTCAAAAAGTGCTTAGAAACAAGGCTGAGTTTGTCCTCATTATATGGTGGTTCCTTTCAGAACTCTAATAAGCCTTAAGACAGATTGCTCTGTCTAGTTGCGAGCTGACCTAACAGGCTTTTTAGTCTTCACTATGTGTAGGGTACTTTCAAGAAAACAAGTCTGACTTCTTCTACTGGGTTTTCCTTGTCCTTGGTTGATTTCCATTGATTTGGAGCAACGGGAGAAACTGTGCCCCGTTTTGATTTTCTATCAAAATCATTTTTCTTGTTTCATCTGAATGTTTTACTTCTCTCAAAATACCAAAGACCACAGAGTCCGTTTGTCGTGGTTGTTGTGTGTGTGCATGTGTGTGTGTGTGTGTGTAATAACAATAAAAGTTTTTGTATCTTGAGAACAGAGAATTTTGGTCTGAAAGAAAGGAAGTACAGATAAAAGACAGGTTAAGTAAAAATTTTGGTCCTGAATTTCAATTGAAAATATCAGCTTGAACTTAAAAAGTATCTCATGACACACACACACATACACACACACACACACACACACACACACACACTTTCTAGGTCTGTCAATTAAAATGGCCAAGAATTAGAAACCCACAGTGAACACCCATATGTTCAGATGGTGTATAGAAATAATACCATTTCCCCTGGATCCATCGCTCCTAGATGAAATAGATGACTCAAGATCTAGAGCAGAAATTTATATCATGTGATACCAGACAGCAAGAATGCTATCAAAAGCTACTGGTGTCACATCCCAAGGACTTAGGAGGTAGTCCTTAAGGAGCTGCCTCTCAGGATGACTGGGCAATTTGAGCAATGAAAAGGATAACTGCATGAATTAAAATACATCAAATATGTTCAAAATGCTTACTTCACAGTAATGCTAAAAAAATTGTAATCCTCTCCTTCGTCACTGCTGGAGGATAATAACAAAGACAATCATTTTAAAAACTAGCAAAGAGAAAGTACTGAGTATGTATTCTGCTTTCCATAAAAAATCATGTGCAAAGTAACCAAGCTACTGATCAGAGGGAATTACTTCTTTTTAGAAACATTCCAGCTGTAAATGAAGAAACACCTCCTAATGAGGGTTTGGATATAATTTTCTGGAAGAATGCTTGCTTAGCATGTGCAAGGCCTTGAGTTCAATCCCCAGCACTGCCAACAAACAAACAAAAACAAAACAAAACAGAATTGTTGGATCTATGCATTTGTCATTAAGAATTGTTAATAGCACAAAAAGAAAACTGAACATTATATTCT